CAGGAATGGCTCCCGCACACCCCCTGGTGTCCAGACCTAGACACACCACCCTGTGACCTGGTGACCAGACATCCTCTGGGGCAGCCCTGCCTCCCCACTCTTCTGTCCATTGCTCAGGTCCCACGTCATCCTGATCTGTCAGGATCAACCACTCTGAACGGTGGGTTAAGGAAAACAAAAGTTTTACAGTGAAGAGTGAGTGCTTTTGTTTTGTTTAATATAAACAGACAAACCAAAAAATAAAGATTCCCTGTCCTGAAAGGACATGCAATACATATTATTTTGTCAGAAAAATTAAGCTTTGTAAAAAGATGATCCTATTCACCAAAATCACAAAAAGAAACAAAGACTTCTGTATAACTAGAACATTTCTGAAAGTGTGTATATCAGACTGTTAATTATTGTGTGTGTGGAGTCACATGGACTTAGACAGGAAGAGCCACTTGTCAGTTTGAAATCTCTGTTAATGAGTATGTTACAATGTGGTCCCATTGACTGTGAGAATTTGAANGGATGAGACTCGGAAATGAGATGAAGCTTGGCAGGACCAGTGCCTTAGGAATCTAAGAAGACAACCTGTCGCTCGAGGAGCCGCTGGCTGGAGGACCGTGGTCTGCAGAGGTTGCTGGGCTGCAGGGAAGGTGGGCTGGAGCCCCGCGTTAGAGGATGTTTCGTGAAGAGCACGTGGGAAAACTGAAAGAGGGGAAATAGATTCCCCTTCAGGACAGACTGGGTGTGAAGTGTAGATGAAGGATGTCCCCAAATCTACATGTCCTTCTCTAGAAATGTCATACAAATGGAATCGTGTTAATTCGGAGATTTCTGTCAGAGGAGAAGACAAACCTAAAGTTTCTGATTTTATTAACTTGAACGATAACAACCCGTTTATCTGCTTGAAAAACCCTTTTCTTAGAAATTATAAATAATGTGTTTTTAAAATGTTCATTGGCAAAGATTTACCATCTTACTGGTCTTATTAACCTATTAGTAGAATAAAATATTTGACACATGTTCATTTTCTATTTTATGAAAATAAAATGCTTATCATTTTAAAAATTATACTCTTTTCCCTTAGTAGGTTATCCATTGAGATGCCCAAAGACATCCACCTTCCCTCTGTATGTTTGGCCTCTATTTAAGCTCAGTGATTTCTCTTCCTGGATCCTGGAGTGATTCTCAAGAAACAAAAAGATATTACTTTTGTTGAGTCTTTTTTCTCTGCTTGTTATAGGACAGTGGCCTATAGGTGAATTATTGGGGTCATTGGCCTATGAGTTGGGAAACGAGATGCCAAACTAAGAGTGAATTATTTAAGAAATGAAGTGGCCCTGGCACTGAGAATATAACTCATGACTGGGTAGTGACAGAGCACCCCATGGAGGACACTGAGAAGGAGAGTCCAAGGTAGGGAAACAGGAGAGTTCAATCAGGGCTATTAATGTTAGGCATTGTGCCCTTAAGGGACAGAGTCACAGCTGACTCAAAGCCAGGCTAACTCTGATCCCAGCTCCCAGGACACAGAAGAGGAAGGTGACTGAGATAGCACCACTGTGACCAGGACCCCATGAGGAGGAGACTCTCAGCAGTGACCAGAGGTGACCTGGGGAGTAGTCGTGTTGGGATGAGAGCAGAAGGGGTATGTCAGAAGGAGAGGTGCTAGTGCTAAGTCCCTGGGTCTGTCCTCACCTGAGGGGGGACAGGTGGAGGAGAGACACCCAGGTGATGGGGGGCTGTGATGTCACTGGTTTCTTCAGCCTTCTCTGTCTTCCTTATTACGACTGGGAAGAAAAGGCCATCGTGAACATATTTTCTTTCCTACTTTTTACCTCTCCTGAGACTACAGAATTTCAAATCAGTGTCTCATAGCTGGGAGAGGGTGTTATTTGGCCTTGGATTGATTTGTTGCCCGGACATTAGGAAGGGGAGAAAGTCGAAGCTTTAGCTTTGTAAGAGTAGAACTACTTGGCCTCTGTCCCCTGCTCATCTCCCAACATTCACAGGCCATGAGCCACATGAACTAACACGCAGGGTGGAGTGAAAATTGAGGCACGTGGTGGGACCACTTAGCAAACCTCCTTTTTTTCCACTCATCTGTGGAGCCTAAATCTTCCAGCATGTTGTTAGTGTTTGACCCCAACATCAAAACAGGGATGGGCCCTGTGTTTCTCAAACCGATCAGACAAGCCTTCTCTGGTCATAATGATGGTGTTAAGGGAGAAGATGTGAGTGATCTGGTCCAGTCATCCTGAAGGCCAGCTTCCTGGTCAAGGAGTCAGAGAGGTCAAGTTTCTTTTGTTAGGATTGTTTTTGTTTGTTTGTTTGTTTCTAGTGGGTGTAATGCTTGGGACTCGGGAGCTATTTTGTCCCCACAATGGGATTCAGCCTAGGTATGGGACTATTTCCAGTGCCCATCTTTCAGATGGGTAAAGAATCCATCCAAATGCTCAGCCAGACACATGAAAGTCATCACAGATTTTTGTCTTTTTCTTACCCACAAAAGACACTCAATCTTCGAATCTTGCCCATTACACCTCTGTGTTGATGTTAAATTGCTCGTTTTCCTTCTTCAGTTTCACTAACCTAGCAAAAGACACTGTTTCCCCATTAAGTGTTGCCTCTGTCACCTAATCTCTCTGTCTCATGTATTGCCTCAGTTTACCCTTCAATCCATTCTCTACTCTGCAGCTGGAGAGCTCATCATAAATGCCAGACGAGGACGCTTTGGTGACTGCACGTGGCCTCTGCAGTGGAGCGCTCATTTCCTGGAGGTGGCATCTTAATGATCTGCGCATGTCCTCCCTTTATCTCATCCAGACACATGTAGAGTGGCTTCTCCTGACCTGAGCCCTGAGATCTGCCATGCTTAGGCCAAATGAAACTTATTTTAATTGCTAGGATGAACAACCAAATTTTCTTCTCTTCTCTTCTTGGTAAATGTTGTTACCAAACCTGGAGCACTCTTCTCTCATCCTTCCTTCTAGCTCATTTTCATTAATAATAAAAGTGACATATTCGATATCACCCCTCAGGGTCAGGCTGCTATGCCCCAAATCCCTCTCAAGCACAGACCCTCTGTGGGGAGTTAACTCCATATGTGTCAGTCACCACGGGCACCACTCACCCTCATAGAGTTGAGTTTAGGGATTGGTAGGAACAGGTGAGATGAGGCTCTAGAGGGACAATTAAGAAGATGCAAACTGGAAATTAAGGAAGGAAATTGTGTTGGGGTGTTGGAGTGAGCAGGAGTGAACCCATGTTGGGACCTAAAACTGCCTGGGCTCGGGAGGGGCTGGATTTTGAAAGGACAGTTTTTTTTCTCTCCACTCTTTCTTCGCATCCCCTGACTTTCTTATCTTTCTCACTAAGTGGGAAAACAAGGCCAAGAAGCTAGTTAGTACTTTGCAAAACTAACAGTTCTTCCTTTGAAACTTGTCAAGTTTTCAGAAATGATCATGGTCAGATGACTGGAAGCTGACCTTGGGCACCAGCCAAGTACACCAGCGCAAATCAAAATCTTGCAGGGTCCTAAGATAACAGCAAAGATGAGAACAGAAAGCAGACGAGGCCTTGATGAGACCTTGTACTTGACCCATAGACAAGGACCCCTCCTAACTCACATCTCCTTCTCTGCTGCTTTTCACCTCCCACATTCCATTCCCTCAACCCCTCCTTTAAAAACCCCTCAGAGGGCCGGCCCGTGGCTCACTCGGGAGAGTGCGGTGCTGATAACACCAAGGCCCCGGGTTCAGATCCCATATAGAGATGGCCGGTTCGCTCACTTGGGAGAGCGTGGTGCTGACAACACCAAGTCAAGGGTTAAGATCCCATTAACGGTCATCTTTAAAAAAATTAAAAAACCCTCAGAAAAAAACCCCTTTGAGATGGGGTAGTCTACCATCTCCTTCAGCTAGATACATCTGCTTTTCTAACACCAACCATTTGACTTCTCAGGTTTTCTTCTTTCCTTCTCAGTGGGGCGGACACCCAGACCTGAGTTTGGTAACAGGCATCATTCTTTTAGTGCTAGTGACAACACAAAGGAGCCAATCGACACTTTAATGATGGATAATCCACGTGATCGATCATTACATGAAATTAGAAGATTGTTAGGAAAAAGACCAGTAAGCGAATAGTCCTTTAGTAATTCTAGGCATTACTTTTTATTAAATCTTTTATGAAAATAAATGAAAGGTTAGGTAAACGTATCTAGCCTGTCTGTTTTTCATTATCTTTGTTAATCAGTATATGTAATGCCTATAATCAAACAGATTCAAACACACTTAGAATTAGGCTGGATATAAATATCTGCTAAATGAGTAATTCTAATCATGCCTCACTAGATTTATTGTATTGTTAGCAGTCCCAACTAAAAAGAGACCCTTTAGTTAAGAGCCCCTTCAAATCCCAGTACTTCCCATAATGAGCCCAGCCTACATCCTCTGACAGGTCCATCGTAGCACCGTGGTACGATGTACTTGGGGTAGTGACTAGGCAGGAGGAAGCTCATGGTTTTTGTCTGATTTCCCCATAGGCTTCCAACACAATGCAAGCATCAATTTTGTCCTGCTCTGCAGTAATTAGTGATAACCAGCCTTGTTCCCAGGTTGTAGCCAAAAAGTGTTCAGGGAGGCCAAATTGCCTGACCTGGAGCCAGGAAATGTTTATGAGATTCCTGAGGGTCACTTATTCCTGTGGGTCAGGGCTTTGGGAACATATCCCGGGTGCTTCTGCAGGTGCTGTGCTCAGGTTGACAACATTGTTGTTGTACCCATTGCAGGTGTCTGTGACAATCTGGCCTGGTGACATGGTTATGGAAGGAGGCTGAGTCAGCCCTAACTGGGCCACAGACACTGGAAGAGGCAGAGACAGGGAGAACAATGAGCCAAATAAGTGAAGGAGTGGAGCAGAGGTGGGCTAAGGTCCCCAACGGAGCCTTCCACCTGCAGCGGGTTGGCCTCACCTGGACAGAGAATGAGGAGGACAATGAGGAGAGGGACCCAGGTCATGGTGCAGGTGCTCAGGAGACCCACATCCCAAGACTCTAGCATGGACCCTGGGGTCCCCTAATTCCCTTTTAGTCTCTACAAGTCCAAGTGGGGAGGAGTTTCTACATTCACATATGTCCCTGCACCCTGACCACCTCCAGCGCCCCTCAGCCCTGGGCAAAGTCTCTGCCGCCTGGAGGAGAAGAGGGAGGATGAGGATTTCACTGAACCAGGCCCCATGGGGTGAGAGAGCCTGGCCCCCGATGGCCTGTGTCCCGGAAGGTGCTGACAACTGCAGTCACATCACATCACAGCTGTGTGCTCAGCTCCCTCCACCTCCTGCGGGGTTTCCCAGCTGGCAGGGCCAGACACATTCACCCCCTGAGACAGCCCCACATCGCCGCCTGCTGGCCCCATGTCCCTTGACACCACCAGGACACAGACCTGCTGACTCCCCTGAGGGTCCCCCAGGTGTGGACTTGGTTGTGCTGTCCCCTCATCCCCTGCTGGTGCTCAGGGGGATGATGGGAAAGCTGGGGTGGGTGAGGGCCTGTTATCAGAGCCCGAAACAGAAACAATAGGATTATAACAAGTGACTTCGGTACATGAGCAAGCCCATCATTCTTATTTCCATTGTGTTTTACCAAGAAGAAAGGGCAATGTCTACAGATCTCAGCTGCACCCAGTAGACGTCTTCATGTCACTGAGAACTCAGCAAACCACGTCTCCGTTCAGGAGGCACCTCCTGTTTCTTTATGTTTGAAGTAGTTTCCTGTGTTTTCCATTCTCAATGTCATCCCTCTCACCATCAACACGGCAGACTTTGAGGATAATCTCTATCCTTTCTGCCTTTATGAATTTACCTATTCTGGATATTTCTTATACAATCGTGCAACAGCTGGCCATTTTTGTTTGGTTCCTTTCACTAAGCATGATTTTTCAAGGTACATCCGTGTTGGAATATGCATCAGTTCTCCATATATTTTTATGACTAAATAGTATTATCTTGTACAGAAGATGGATCTATTATATTTCTATATGCATTGTACAAAAATTTAAAATATATGTGCCCACCTTGTCTTGGCTAAACACTGTGTTGCTTTGCCTCCCACGGATTTGTCACCCCTTTTCCCCTGGGTGACAGAGCCGCCAAAGATTACTCAAAGCCCATCTCTTTTGAGCAGTGAGAAGCCCCAGAAAGGGGTTAATATACCAGAACTTCCTCAAGCATGAGGCATTTCTTCCATTTTGGGAAATTAACCATGAATTGGGGTTCTCTTCCTGCATTTATTCTCCAGACCAAGAAGTTACAGGAAGAGACATAGGTGGGGTTTTGCTAAGTACAATTTAACAAGTTTTTACAATAGAAGCTGGTAACATTCAGTAAAAACAAGTCAGATGACATTCTATTTAGACAATTAAGTGTTCCACTAACAAAGGCTTGATTTAGCAAACATTCCTTCTCCCTCCAGAAGCTTTTTAGTAACTCTACATATCAATTAGTAACCTGTCTGTCCTTGAACCAGCAGCCTTGCTGTGTTATGATTATCTTGCAACAAAGTCTCAATAGCCTGGGGAAAATTTCCTGTCCTTTGCAAAGTCAATATTTGAAACTGCAAGGCTTTGGAAAACCAGGCCCTGTGAAGTACATTTGCTTTATGAATCCTCTACAGCAATGTATCATAGATTCTGTTGTGGCTTTTACTGCTTTAGGTAACACAGCCTCTGACCTCATGTTACTTAGAATACCACTAAACCGGGGCCAGCCCAGTGGCACACTGCTACAGTGCGCCGCTTGGGAGCGCGGTGGCACTCCCGCCGAGGGTTCAGATCCCAAATACAGACCAGTTCCCGCTCACTGGCTGAGCGAGGTGCGGGCGCGACACCAAGGGTTGCGATCCCGTTGCCGGTCCGGTCCGGTACGGGCGCGACACTGAGGGTTGCGATCCGTTGCCGGACACGAAAAAAGACAAAAAAAATGAAAAAAAAAAAAAAAGAATATCACTAAACCATCAAAACAAACCTTTGAATACTGTGTTATTGTTCAGTCTGTCACATGGAAACAAGAAACACAAATAGATGAAACACACAAATAAACAAAAAAAACTAGCTTCGTACCCAGCTCATTGGCACAAACAGGATCCAAAGCCAAGGGCTTTCTAATAGGTGATAACATGCTCTTTAACCTAGTGATCTCACCATGTCTGATTTTGCCCTCCAGGGGACATTTGGCAGTTTCTGGAGCATTTTTGTTTTCACAACAGAGGGAAGGGTGTTAAAGTATCCAGTGGATACAGAATAGAGATGCTGCTAGACATCTGACAATGTGCAGAACAGTTTGTGACCACAAAATATCAATAGTGTTATGGTTCAGAAATCCTGGTTTAAACTACATCGTCCTCATGAATTGATCATAAATGTACTAGAAAAATCAGCCACCGAGATGTGGAAAGAGAAATTGGTATTTTGAAAAGAAAACAGAGGAAGTCATGAACAAACAATAGAACTCAAACATTCAAGCAGGAAACAAGAAAGAGCAGCCCACCATGTTCGGGACAGTTTGAGAGCAGACCTGGGGACGGAGATGCTCTAAGGAATTTGGGTCTCACTCCCCCATGGGTCTGGAGCACTGTGTGATTATAGCTGCCATCATGAGACTGACAGCAGCAGTCAGCTTCATCCTCAGGCTGCAGCCCAGAAATGGTCAGGGACGAGGCATTGGAGGAGCTGTCATTGGAGCCAGAGCACCAGTCAGGAAACCTGCAGAAAAGGATAATTAAAGTATAAAAAATTATATATATCCACTTCCATAACTCACTATAAAATGCTGAAACAAATGAGAAATATCAGACTACTAAAAAAACATTTGCAATTATTACAGGTAGAGGATATTGCATGTATTACATATATTATCATGAATACATTGGAACATCACAGTTACCAGCAAGTAACCCTGACCTCTCTGAAGGGAGCCCTGAGATAACTCTACTTATTGTCTCAGACATTCTCAAGGCAGAACAATTCTTGCCCTGG